CATGTGTCCTGCATGCGTGCATGTGTGTGCTGCTGCGCTGCATGTGTGCACGTGTCCTGCATGCATGTGTGCGCCGACTTGCTCGTGCCCATGACACTTGTGCCTGCTTGATCCACCCGCAATCGAAGCTCCAACTCTCTTGCAGACTGCTGTTCAGGGAGCGCAGAGGAACATGTTCACAGAAGCTGACTCTGAGGCGAAGACCCCGCGAGCTGCGACTTCCACCTTGAGGCAGTGTGCACTCTGTGGGGGAAAACTTGGAGCAGTCGTGCTTCGGGATTCCGATACATTGTTTCCGAAGACAGTTCCAGCACGCATGCACTAAGCGAGTGGCTGGACCAACCGCTTATTCTCGACAGCTCACCAGGTTTCTGAATGCGCCGGACCCTTGGGGCGCCCGCCGACGGAGGCCGGAAAGCAGAGGGGAAACCAGACCTCGGAAGTGGCCGGTTCCGAAACCGGCGGACAAGCCCGTGGCGTGCTCACTCGACGCTCAACTGCCAAGGTTCCGGCATCATCTGAGCAGCAGTCGCCGCGAAAGGTGCGCGTCCAAGGTCTTGCCTCGACATAGGCTAAGTTGTCGAGACAGTGCTTGTAGGATTGCATACACGACTAGGACCTAAGGAGGTTGCAGGCTTTCAGTGCGGAGCTTATGTAGGCTGCACAACACACGCTGTCACTCAAGACTGAAAACCCTCAAACACATTCAAAACCAAAGAGTAAAACCAAACCTGAACCCCAAGCCCAAAACCGAGCCAATGCGGGAAAGACTGAAAACCCTCAAACACATGCCGCCTTTTGGCGCCCAAAGGCGGCCTCCCCGGATCGCCCGAGGGCGGCCTCCCCTGACGGCATCATGAGGCACATTTAACGATCCTTACCATACAGACGCAAATTATAATAGACCTGCCATGCACGCGTGTCCTCTTATGGCTGAGAGCACATACGAGGCATCCCCACTCGACCTTGCAAAGTATCCCTTGCAGCACCCTTGCCATGCCTGCGAAGCGGAAGTTTGGCCGCGCGAATGCCTTACTCGGAGAGAGGTGGTCGGACTGGCTGAATTACATCCGGGAACACGCAGGCGCCAAGTACTACATGCTTCTCTTCCTCACTTCCGCACTCTGCCTCCGTATCACGCAGGCGGCACGACTCGAATCGCAGCACTTCAACCTGAAGAAGAAGAGGGTGTGGATCGCAGCTTTCAAGAAACATGTCGGCATCTACAAACCTCTGATGCCCTCTGTTCTGAAAGCGCTACGACAGATGCGGAAGCATGGAGTGAAGTCACAGAAAGGTACGTTCAAGTGGCCGGCCAGAGGGCTTCTGTTCCCGGCCCGCTCCACCTGCAAGACCAAGACCCGTCATGTCACCAAAGACACGGTCGCCGCTGTCATCAGGCAACACCGGAAAGGATTCCTAGCACATTTCAAGAACAAATACCCGGACTTGCTAGACGGCAACACGATTCGCTCCCACTCAGGACGACGTCACTGCATTTCTACCCTGGCTGGTGCCGAAGTCTCAGCAGATGCAACGATGGCGTTTGCTCAAATCGAGTCCTACAGGGTCTACAAAGGGTATGTGGAAAAGTCCGCAGAATCTGTGGCCCCTGTGTTACGTGCAGCAGATCGGAGGCTTTGCCTGGGGAAAGCCTAGATGCGTGTACAGTGAGAGCTCGACTAGGGCTGCTTTTTCTTTCTCCGCCTCGCCTGCCACATCCCTAGGCAGCTGACTTCGAACCCGGTGGACTGTGACTCACCGTGGCCTATGTAATCTTTTGCGGGCAGGACAGAAATCTGACAGTCACTGTCAATTTCTACCCTGGAAGTCTGAGCACATAGCCTGTCAGCGGTGAAGACCCGCTGTCTTTAATGCACCGCGCAAGACTCGTGCCAACAAAGTTGTAGGAATAGAATTGCCCACGAGCGACAAGAGCTGCCGATCCGAGAGGTCATGCTTGAGATCAGTCAGACGCAACCCCATGAGAATGCACACCTCTGCCGGAGTCATCATTCGCTGTTTCCAGGTCAGCCAATGGCCTCCACTGCCAGCGCGGCTTCTGGTCAGGCATGGGCTGTAGTTGTAGTTGAAGTGCGGCCACGAGCCGCGCACGTCTACCACGAAAGGTTCTGCCAGCGGGTCATGGCCTGCACACTGAAGCTTCTGCAGGACAGCTAGCAGGTTGCGTTGGCCGGTCATTGTCGTGGGCATTGCTCCAGGCCACCGCCTGGGACTGCTTCCGCCGGCTATGAAGTCCGTGATGGGCACCATGGGGATCTGTTGGGCAGACAGCAATGCAGAACAAACACTCGAAGGCATTCATGTTCTGTGCTCCTTATCTACATGGACATAACGAACCCACTTCCACAGCTGATCACCCCACCAAAGCCATAACGACACGTTCTACAAGACCCAGAACAACAGTTGCTCGGCCTCCGCAGGCCATTGCATGGGACCACGGGCCACATCTGCTCGAAACCCGCAGATGAACGTACGAGCTCTGTTCTGCGGCAAGCCTCCGTGGATCCTGGCATTGCGAACCTTCCAGCTGATTTGGTAGGCTGGCACACCTTTGTGCTGGATTCCTAGCAGCTCCTGCAGCACTTCAAGAAAGTACTCCTGATGTCTGGTAGTCATGTTATCCACGTTCTCCAGGAGGAAGACTTTGGGCATGTGGCTGCCCAGCCACCTGATGATGTGTTTCAAGACTCCTCCACGTCCATGGGCATCGTCCTCCCCCTGATTGCTGCCGGCTCGGCTGAAGGGCTGGCATGGCCAGCCTGCAACGAAAACGTCACAGTAAGGGCTGGCCTGGAAATCGGAGCCCGCAACGTCATTGTACCAGTACGCGTGCTTGTGCGTCTGCTGGCATAGCCGCTTGGATGCCGCGTCGATGTCACAGCCCAGCAGTGGAACATAGCTTGCCCCGAGCAACGCACACGCAAAGACTTCAGCGCACAGACCGCTGCAAGCACTACCCAGTGTGAAGCCATCGGGCTTCAGCGGGATGACGGAGCAGATCTTCCAGGTCGCTTCCGTTCCTGACACCGCACTGTTGCCCCGACGCTTCTGCATGAGGTCCTTCCGCACTTTGAGGGGCATGGCTGACAGAAATATAATTAAGCCCCTCACTCTCACTCTCACTCGAGCACTTACAGACAGACAGACAGACAGACAGTCGATTTATTCAGGCGTTGGCGCATGCACTGTCACATGACACACTCAATCATCCCGCGTAGACTGACCGCCACAGTTTCTGTCTGCTCAGCAATTTCTCAATGGTCCCTGGCACAGGGCAGTCCTTGAAGCGGACTAGACTCTAGAATACATTGAGGAGGGTGTCAGATGTGCATTGCACATTTGTCACGGCTGGATCCACGTCGGCAGCCCCTGCAGTTCCGTGAATGAGCATCATGCCCAGGTCGCTCCCTGAGAGAAGACACCGAAATGTAGCTGGGTGGTCTGACTCACGACTCTTGCGTGCAATGACACTACGCGCACGGAAGCGACGCGAGCCGATACGACTGTACAGGTCCTTCAGTCAACACACTGTGGACGATTAAGTGGAAATGCTACTGCATCTGGATCCGCAAAAAATCTCCTCACTTGTCCTGGCTGTCCTCGCTCTCCTCCTCGTCAACGCACAGGATGCCGGGCGCGGCTCCGGACTCCTCAATTCCTTCCATCTGGGCGATCTTTTTCAAGAGGGTCTCCTTGGTAGCAACCTTCTTGGAAGCGGCACCCTTGCCGGTCTTGCCCTTGCGCTTCTGGCCACTGCTCTCCGCTCCCCCCTCGTCCTCCTGCTCCTCGCCCTGCCCTTTCTTGCCCTTTGGTGTCGCCTTGGGCTTTCTCGGGCGGCGAAGCTTCAGCGGCACGGTGGTATTCTTCAGGCCCTTGCTCTTGCCCTTGCCGCGACCTTTTCCCTTCTTGCCGTTGCCTGCGGACGACTCCTCCGCATCCGTGAGCAAGCCCGCCTTCTTCATCACGCTTGACCTTAAATTGCGAGCGTGCATGTGCAGTCCCATCACAAAAGAAAGCGTGCGCAAACCGTGAGTGGATTGCAGTTGGACCGCAGGTCACACTGCAGCTCAGAGCTTGTTTTGTCCCCTGATTCACACTAGCGGTCCAGAATGCACACTCCCTGCAGGTTCCTAGACGATGCACTCCGTGGCTTCTGCACAGTGCTACTGTAGCTTGCCAGCAAACCGAGTGCCCCCTGTGCACGGGAACCACATTCTGCAATCACTCCCCGTCGAATGGATCCAAAATGAAATTTTTCAAACATCCGCTGGTCTCGATCTGCCAGTCCAGCTCGTCCTCCATGTGGAACTCCTCGCTGGAGTCCAAGACGGAGGATGACTCGGTCACAGTGTAGTCGTCTTCCATGGGAGTGACCTCTGGTGAGTAACGGTCTGGCTTCTTGAACTGTCTCCGCGATCGCCGCGGCTGCGGGGATAGGGATTCGCCATCAGAGTCAATCTCATCCTTGACTTGGCCAAACCTGCCCCGTCCTGCCAGCTCGCCGCCAGAGACTCGCTTGCCTGGCTCCAGCTTTGCAGTCGGGCGCGTTGGGGACTTCCGCGGCACCAAGTCATGCTTCCCTGGCTCAAGCTTCACTGCCGGGCGCTCTGGGGACTTCAGCGGCACCAAGTCACGGCAGCGGTATTTCTTCGTCATCTCACCTTTTGGAAGATGACTGAGCCCTGTGTCCACACCAGCTGCACGAAGCCTTGCCGCCAAATCAGACTTCGTGCCGTCCTGGCTCAAACGCAGCCTCCTGCACTCCTGGCGCAGGGTCTGCCGGGTGGCCCAGACCCGTGATGGCTTTGCAGCCTTGCCGCCCTGCTTCTCGCCCATGGCAGGGATTCTTCAGCAGAAGTTCCCAGTCCTAACTGGAGGCCTAAGAAACAAAATCCTGCAGCAGGCATTCGGTCAGCAACAATGGCAGCTGCACCCGCGACACGAAGCGAACAAACAGGTAGCCCTGTCTTGTAAGGCTAAGGCAGGCCTACCTGGAACAAGTCCCCGCCCGTCTCCAGGAACTGCTGCCAAACCCAGTGAACCAGGTGATCATGTAGGCGACGCCTGTGCTCTTCAGTGTGTACGACACTGACGCAGCTGGTTTTGCGCTTGATGGCCGCCTTAGCGCAAGCTCCGTCGACATCCAGGGCGTGGTACACGACCCCGGCTTGGTAGCTGTGCATGAGTTCCTCGTAGAAAGGCACAGGCATCCCGTGGAACGTCATTACCGTCATGTTGTGCTCCAGTGTGGGTTTCTCCGGCGCATCAGGGAGCCCTCCTCCAGACAGGACCTTGCCGGCTGGACCGAGCAACTTGCTTTTCACGGATTCCTCCACTTTCCACGTAGCGGCGGCTTCGTATTTCTCGACTTGCACTGGTCCGAGTGTTGAGCTCATGGTGGTGCCTGTGGTATACACGGCTCGTTCTTTGCTCGGCATGTTCAAGCTCCCGCACGTCACAACATGCATTGTCTCGTGCGTGTCCACGATGCCCCTGCTGCTGCATTTCCGTGCACGGACTGTCTGCTCCTGGTAGTAGATGCAGATCTCCTGCCTGCATTTCTCGTCCATGTTATCTCCGGACGACACCTTGGTGAAGGCCGACATGATTCCAGGGGCTATATACCTGTTCCCGTCCAGGACGAGAACGGTGTCGTTCCCCTCCAGCTGGTCCTCCAAAACAAAGAAAAGGGGGAGAGGCGCGTGCAGGCAACGAACTCAGGCTGAAAGCCTGAAACACAATCAACACCAAAGCCCTGGCGCCCTCAAAGTTCTCACAACCCTAGCCTGGCCACGGGCTTGACAGAATGCGTGAACCGCCTTCTTGAGATGTGCAGCTCGGAAGTTCGGCAGTCTTATGTGCGGTTGAGCACTAGCTTCCCCGACGTTCTTGGTGTCGTAGATCAGCAGGCTACGGGACTCCGGTCCCACGGCTGCGCTGGCCAGGGCTGAGTGCTCTAGCACCGATTTGAAGTCACCGACACTCGAATGATCCACAATCAATTTCACGAACTTGTCCACCGTCTCTGTGGCCTCCTGGAAGAACTTCTCGAAGGTCTCCCCATGCTCGCCGGCAACATGTTCCTGCCCTAGGAGGGTGTCCAGCGAAGATCCCAGTGGGGCTGTGGCGGTCGTTGCGACGGGGGCCGGGGGCTCGGCCACTTCCGCTGCGGGCTTCTTGCACAACTGCTCGATGAGCTCGTCGATTTCCCGAAGCATGCCTTCGAAGGGCTCCTTGCTCATGATGTCCTTAGGAGCCGTGCACGACTTCAGCGCTTGCTTCAGCTGAGGGTCCAGGTCTGCGCTGAAGATCGCGACCTGTCTCGCCAGGAAGGCAGATATAGACTCCATCTCTCTCGCCCTCTTCTTTATCGCTCCTCAAAGCATGCTTTAAGTTTATCAGGCTTACCTGCTGTAGAAACTTCCTTGGGATTCAAGCCCGCATTCGGCCTTGAAGAAGGAAATGACCTTCCGCTCGGCTTCAGTCAAAAGGCCCTGCCAGCTCAAGTCAGCGGAGCTTCCAGGCAGACCTCCGCACATGGAGCGAAAGTGGGAGTGACTGCGAAACTTGTCGAGGTTCTGGACCTTGTCAAAGGCTAGTCCCTTCTCCCCGACGTGCTTCAGAAGAAAGAGGGCCATCCCACGTTTCGCAAGCCATTCATCCAGAAGGCCTCGCGCACCTCCACCCCTTCCTCCAGCGAGCTTGCGACTGGACAGGTCTTTGTTGCTGAACTGTTTGGTGTACAGCACATCTTTGATGCATTCCAGCAGCCACAGCATCTCGTCTGTGTCCGAGGTCTTGTTGGCCAAAACCTCCAAGGTCTGCATGAAGTTGAACAGGCAACTCTTACCGTAGCGCAGCTCCAGCTCGTGCACAATGCTGTAGCAAGCATCCTTGCCGAGAAGCTTCACGTACACATTCACGGCCGTATTGACCCAGGCGGTGTCGACCTTCTCCTGGAGCTCGGAGTCGGTCGCCACTGTGTTCTTAGCCCAAAGCTGTGCCAAGGCGCTGTTGTCCAGGTTCAAATCCCTTTTGAGGTTGATGACTTCGAAAACCAGCTGCACCGTCGACCTTGAGCATGATTCGTAAGTCGCGACGTAGGCATTCCGGAGGTTGAGCTGTCGCCACTGCAAGCCGTTATCCAACTTCTCGCACCGCAGGCTGATGCTCAAGCACACGTTGCGCCAGCTCCTGCGAGTACCCATGCTCTAAACGAAAAGGGCTCTGAGTAGCTACATCCACATCTCAGCAAAGGGTACACGGACACCGAGCACGCAGACATGTGCGAGTTTGCAACGAGTTTGCCTATTCAACACCATGCATCTGGCCTGAGTTCTTCTTCGGTGGCACCGTCCCGAATTCTCTGCGCAATGTGGAGGATGAGGGCATGGTCCATCTCTTCGGGGGAGATGCGCTGAAGCAGTGAGGAGCGGGCGGCTTTCATGAAACCATCACTCTTCTGCGTCTGGTTGCTCACAGCCACCACTACCTCCAAACCAAGTTTCTGGGGCCCAGAGTCGAAGAATGCCTGCTGCATGAGCTTCAGTGACTTTTTGTTCACAGGCACAGATGGGGTCACCATCTTTCTGATGTTGACCCAGAACAAATTTCCGCAACTCACATAGACCTTGCTGCTCACCATGCAAGCATTGAACTCCGTCGCGTTCCATGCAGCCTCGGAAAGGGGGCTTGTATTCAGAACAGAAGCAGAAAGCGGGACATCAAAGGCACAGAACCAGCAGCAAGGCACAGCAACGAGGAGGCTGGGAAGCAGCAGGATAGCACCAAGGGTTGGGTAGGGTTACCCGGTCCTTGCTGCGTAGGGAAGCGCCCGCCCACGCAGTAAGCCAGGGTATCCTATGGCCGTGCCCTGCCCCAAGCGGCGGGTAATGTTACCCGCCGCTTGGGGCAGGGCACGGCCATAGGATACCCTGGCTTACTGCGTGGGCGGGCGCTTCCCTACGCAGCAAGGACCGGGTAACCCTACCCACCCTTTGGGCGGCAGCGCGAGGTGCGGGCACTTCACTTGCTTCGCATGCCACTAAACGACGCCTTACTGCAGGTCCGGGCGCCTCGCCCTGCAGTAAGAGTCTTTTTGAATGGATTTCAGCACGAAACACGCCATTTGTGGTTACAGACGTTTCGCGTGCTCGGCTGCCGTTTTGCTGGGGTTCCTGCTTGCCATGTCTACCTGCCACGACACGCCATTTGTGGTTAGAGGCGTTTCGCGTGCTCGCCTGCCGTTTTGCTGGGGTTCCTGCTTGCCACGTCTACCTGCCACGACACGCCATTTGTGGTTAGAGGCGTTTCGCGTGCTCGGCTGCCGTTTTGCTGGGGTTCCTGCTTGCCATGTCTACCTGCCACGACACGCCATTTGTGGTTAGAGGCGTTTCGCGTGCTCGCCTGCCGTTTTGCTGGGGTTCCTGCTTGCCACGTCTACCTGCCACGACACGCCATTTGTGGTTAGAGGCGTTTCGCGTGCTCGCCTGCCGTTTTGCTGGGGTTCCTGCTTGCCACGTCTACCTGCCACGACACGCCATTTGTGGTTAGAAGCGTTGCGCGTGCTCGGCTGCCGTTTCGTGGCGCCTCTCCTTCTGACTGGACGGTAGCCTGGCCCCCTGCCGTCAGCCCGGACCTTGTCCCGCGTACCACTTTCTGTCTCCACCTGCCGTTTTGAGCTAGGGCCCCTTCCGACAGCCTCCCGCCACTTTCTGTCTCCACCTGCCGGTTCCTTCCGATAGCCTCCCGCCACTTTTCCCGCCTCCTGCCCCGTCTCTCCGAACCTCGTCCCAGAACCTCCCGCGCTCGGTCCTCGCCCGCCGTTTTGAGCCAGGGCCCCTTCCGATAGCCTCCCGCCACTTTCTGTCTCCACCTGCCGTTTTGAGCCAGGGCCCCTTCCGACAGCCTCCCGCCACTTTCTGTTTCCACCTGCCGTTTTGAGCCAGGGCCCCTTCCGATAGCCTCCCGCCACTTTCTGTTTCCACCTGCCGTTTTGAGCCAGGGCCCCTTCCGATAGCCTCCCGCCACTTTTTGTCTCCACCTCCTTCCGATAGCCTCCCGCCACTTTCTGTTTTTCCACAGCTTGTCCCGGCTCCTGCCCCGTCTCTCCGCACCTGTCGTTATCAGCCCGAACCTCGTCCCAGAACCTCCCGCCGCTCGGTCCTCGCCCGCCGTTTTGAGCCAGGGCCCCTTCCGATACCCTCCCGCCACTTTCTGTCTCCACCTGCCGTTTTGAGCCAGGGCCCCTTCCGACAGCCTCCCGCCACTTTCTGTTTCCACCTGCCGTTTTGAGCCAGGGCCCCTTCCGATAGCCTCCCGCCACTTTCTGTTTCCACCTGCCGTTTTGAGCCAGGGCCCCTTCCGATAGCCTCCCGCCACTTTTTGTCTCCACCTCCTTCCGCTCCCGCCACTTTCTGTTTTTCCACAGCTTGTCCCGGCTCCTGCCCCGTCTCTCCGCACCTGTCGTTATCAGCCCGAACCTCGTCCCAGAACCTCCCGCCGCTCGGTCCTCGCCCGCCGTTTTGAGCCAGGGCCCCTTCCGATAGCCTCCCGCCACTTTCTGTCTCCACCTGCCGTTTTGAGCCAGGGCCCCTTTTGACAGCCTCCCGCCACTTTCTGTTTCCACCTGCCGTTTTGAGCCAGGGCCCCTTCCGATAGCCTCCCGCCACTTTCCGTCCTCGCCTGCCGTTTTGATCCCGGACCTCTTCCGACAGCCTCCCGCCACTTTCCGTCACCGCCTCCTGTACTGGCACCCTGGTTTCAACGGTATCACGGGAACTGCTGCGCGTACTATGTTCTCACAACGAAGATACGTCTATACCCGCCACTTCTGCCTTGTCTGTTGCTTTCATGCGTGCGATGGCTGCTGCATACAATGGCGCCCGGACTAGTCAATAGTCGCACTCACCACGGTTTAAACTACCACATTGGACACACTAAACATATCAGACAAGAGGCTTGCGAGCCAGCCTCACTGGTTGGAGCATGACGGCTTATTTTCGACGGAGGCTCCGCCGAGATGTTCAGAAAGATAGGATGGGCCTCTATCTCCTGGATGGCATTCTCCAGATCCTGCAGATGGTCCCTGTTGACATCCGCCACAGCAGCCGAAGGGGGCCCGAGGTCTTGCGGATTGACTGCACTGGCGCGAGGCATGCCGCAAGGCGGGCGAAGGGCTCAGACAGCAAATCAAAACTCTCCAACAAATCGTCTTGAGAGCGCGCATGTACAGACATACGGTGCGAGGCATGCAGCTTCATGGGTGTGTGTGTGTGTGCCTCGTCGAAGACGATTGAAGCTTCTTTTAACACCGCTGCTAGCCGAAGGGTTGCAAACGAAGTCTCATGAAGTAAGCTGCCTTCGCGCAATCTGACGCCAAGTGTGCTGGAATCCAGAAGGTGATGTGGCACAGTTGTGGCGGACAGATAAACGTTCAAAGTCAGGAGCCTCTAGCTGCTGTGACACGGGCAAGAGAAGGCAGATCAGCAGGCTGCTGAGTGTGTTATGGTGTGAGTGTGTGATGGTGTGTGTGTGTGTGTATGTGTCTGTGCGGGCTGCCAGATGAAGACATCACTCTCAAAAGCACCCACGGTCACGCGGGACGGTGGCCTCTCCGGGTCCGTGGGCCTTGCACCAGCAGCCACCTCGCCGTGCATCCGTTAGGCTGTTCGGTCCATCTTGAACCGTGTTATCTACGTGAGTTCCCAGCGACAACACCTACTCACATACTGCGGGTGCCTATTACGACAACAATGCATGTGGCAGACAATGCTGAGCATTCAGCCCTTCAAATCAGAACCCCCTGAACCCCAAGCGCAACCTCTCCAGGCCGGACTTCCACTCAGGACACGAAGTCTGCACGGCTGTCTCAGAGCCTGCGACGAAGCCGCGGCATGGGAGCTCCTGGCACACGCTGCACTCTGCAGATCACCACGTGACAACACATGCATATCCTGGCGTGTGGGAAGGGGGGTTGGGGGAAGAGCATGCTTCAGGATCATGTGCTCTAGCACAGGCAGTGCAAAGCAAGCGCTCGGCTTCTTTATGATCCCCCTGTCCCCTTAGAAGTCTCAGCCTGCAAATCGAAATCTACCCCTTCTGCTAGCGTCAAACATCATGCTCCACAGGCCCCGCGGCTTGCGCAGGACATAGCACGGAATTGTGCTATGAAGGAGGTCTTCGTCATGATGTTGCGTGAAGCCATGTCATCACATACAGCAGGCACAGTCAGGGCCACGACGGCCAGCGGATTCTTCGCAGAAACCTTGCCATGTGCCTCTGCAAACTGTTGCCACGAATTCAACAATTTCCATTTGGAATGTTGTTGGCTTGCAGCGCGATCCACAAGCCCCGCCAAAATGGCATGATGGGCCCGAAACTGTGGACACACGAACACCTTCCGGCGTGTAGATACAGCCGCATCATACAGGAACGCAACCCCTTGCTGACGCTCTCTCTGGCCGGCAAGATATTTCATGAAACGGATGTCACAAATGCAGCCACCTTGCAGTGTAGCTACCCAGGTCACGCGCTGTCCCGGCCGTGCAGGGTCTTTGACAACGAAGAATTTACAAGACGGCAGGTCTCCACTTAGGTTCTGCCCCTGCAACTCTGGGCACTGGCCCCACGATTCGTCCTCAAGGAAAATCCAGTGGTTCAGTAGCTGCGGCGCAGCAGGAGCCATAATAGCATGCCGGCGGCTTGCTGCCCGCTGCCTCTCAGCATCCAGCTTGTCTTGATGCTTGACCCAGTCTTCTGCCAACTCCTCCAGTTCGGGGTCAACCTCACTGGCCAGCAAATGCCCGTCCAAGTAGGACTGGATCTGATTCTTGTACTGCTTGGTCTGCTGGAACAGAAGCTCGTTCTGAATGCTGTCGCAATTCTCCATATGCTCCTGCGCGGCCTCGAGCGCCTCCGCCTTGATGTCGTTGGGGTCACACAGCACCATCTCCTCCTGGACCTTTTGACGCCGCCGAGCAACGAAGGCTGCTTGCGACTGTCCATCAGAATCCTGCGCAGATGGTGGTCTGTGTCAACATCCTAGCAGTTTAATCTGAGTTTTCACTTGGGGTCAATTGGATTGCGGGGACATCTTAAATCTACTCGGCCAGCAAGCCTTGTGCGAGCGCTTCACGCCCTTGTCCAGCCGGGAGGTACTGCCATTCCGAGGCTTCCCGAACCAGGAGAGCCAGACTTCCGCGGCCAGCTTGTTTATGGACGCTGGCCCCAAGCGATCGTAATCGAACATGAACTTGAGCTCGTAATTCATGGTTTCCTCCCCGAGCCCAGAGCGATCAGGAGTGATGATCTTTCGCATCCGCGCGAAGTGCTGTTCCACGCCGCTGGTGGTGCACCCGTCGAAGCTGCCCAGACGCATGAGGATCCATGCGAGATTACTGGACGGGTGGCGTGTTGCTGTTGAAGAGCGCGCCGACGTTTTCTGCACTGCTGTCTTCCAAGCTTGAAACGAGCTCGCGTCCTTGTTGCAGATAGCGTGATGCTGTGCAATGGGCCGATGGTCCTCATATTCCGCGAGAAAGGCCTCGCAATCAACTTCAAATGCCTGACACAGGCGCTCAGCCGCGTCTCGCGTTGACTGAGCCCTGTCCGAGCTATCAGCACGGCAACTGCGAGATTGATGCGACAGGTCGAAAATCCGGAACGCAGCCAGCAACTGAATGTTGGGGAATTCCGACTCCAGAACCTCCAGACATAAGGCCACGAGTGATTTCATGACTTTCAAGCAGCGCTGCACAGTAGCAGCTGGAAGAGATGAGCCCCCTATGGTCTTTGGCTGAGCGCCGATCATGAAAGCCACTGGCTCCTGTAGCTGCCGCATCATGTGCTCGGTGTACCCCGAATGCAGAACTCGCTCCTGCAGCAGGGGTCTAGGGTCTGCTCCGAATCCTTCCCCATTCAGGGTCCAAGGCTATACGTCTGTTGTCCTAAAAACAAGCCCCGCCTCAGGTGTTCCAGGCCTCTTTTTATAGGTTAGGGCTTAATAGGGTTTTGGGCATAGAGCACCTGCAAGAACAAGGTCCGGAGACGCGATGCAAAAACGTCAACCTCCAGCATCACTGCAGACACATCGTGCTCTTCACTATCCAGCATGCGTATCAATGCGGTCGTCTCGTCAGAAAAGTCTGCTGCCATTGCCAGCAAGAGCATCCTCTCCTCGGAGATGTACTCTAAGAAGTCTCGAGCTCGCTGACCATCCCTGTCGTCCTTGCGATGGACGGACGCGTGGACAGCTGTCATGATAACAGCCTCGAACCATAATATCATCCGGGATGTGGGCTTCTGAAAAGAGTCAAACCTGTGCTTGCGGAAGCTGAGGTTTTTGATACGCTTGGACTTCACAGCAGACGACTCCACGCGGGCACAGTATCCGGCGAAGGCATTGGACAGCACCTGGCTGCTCTGGATGGTTCTCGTGATGCTGCTGGACCCAGAAATCAGAGTTGAGTAAACCTCGTCCAGCTCATTGATTGCCTTGAATGGACGCGACATGAGTCTCCTAGCAGCGTGCGTGCGATCTTTCATGGCTACCTTGGAGTTGGGGAAGAGTCCGGCGGAGATTCGCATGAGCCGTGCCGCGAGCTGCTCGTCCGCCGCTGCGTCTGTATCAATGAGCTCAACGTTCCCTCGCAGCGTGTCAAATGCAGACTCGTCACCTTGGCAAACGTTCATCACGATCGCTCGCGCTCCTGCCTGCAGCGAGGCATTGGAGCCATCCTGCAAGTGCGCGACTCCCAGCAGGCCCTTCGCCGTTGTAAGGTTTTCAGAGCACATGGAGAACCGCATCATGAGCAGCATGGCTGACACATCCTGGTGGATGACCAAGCTTCCTGGCTGGAGCAACAGCTGCAAGTCCGCTTCAATGCACGCCTGCCCAAGACAATCCTGCATCTGGGTGAGCTTCCGTCTGCCGCCTAGTCCAGGCACATGTGTACTCAGTGAGGTGCATTGCTTTCCTGGCTTGCTAGTCAGGCAACCCGTAAACAATTATCACCGGCCCTCTTAACTTAGTAAGGCAACCGAATCTGCCATGCATGCGAGGCTCGATGCTCTGCAAGCTTCGCGAACTGTTCCGCAGACGGGGCTCCGTGCTCGTCTAAGCCAGCTCCAGAGAGGGCTCGCAGATGCTGCCTGGAAACCTCATGTCTACGCACATTGCTGAAGTTGCCAGGGCCGTGAAAGCCGGAGGTTGCAAATGAACCTGTCATGCCGCTGGCCGCGCAAATCTGGCATCCCAAACCCCATCGGCCACGCCAGAGGCGATCAGTCAGCCACGGCAGCTTCAGTTTCCATGCCTGCCAGTTCCGCAAATAGCAGCATCGAAAGCAGTGCGGGTCCTCGCAGTCTCGCACATGTCGCCGGTGGTCTTCGGCGACTGAAGCTCCCCCAGCTCCGTCCGCTTCGGCTCCAGGCTCTGAGACGCACCCATCAGCGCTAGGCACGTCAGCCGCCTCCGCAGCAGGCGCCAGTCCTTGCCACGTGGATTTAAAGCCAGGAATCATGGCCGCCAAGCGTCGGAGCACAAGGCTGATCACCCTTGATCAACCATGCTGCAAAGGCGGATGAATGTCATACACATGCCAACCCCAAACCCCAGCGTAACCCTGAACCTAGACCTAGAGCAGGTTCTGCTCTGTATCTTAAACAACGGGTCAGCTGAGGGGATGCATTCAGAACGTGACCAGCGCTGGTATGTGTAGTACCCACTACTACGACTGCTACTACTACTACTACTACTACTACTACTACTACTACTACTACTACTACTACTACTACGTCTAATAGCACGACTCTTAGAGCTACAGCTCGAGAAGCTGGTCCTGTACTGTTGCTGTCCGACTACTCCAACTGCTTCCCCTCCGACGGCTGCTACTGCTACTGCTCGTGCCACTGCCACTGCCGCTGCTGCTGCTGTTGCCACTTGCCACTGCCGCAACACCTGGAGGCTCCTTGTGAAGCGGCGCTGTCCAGGAAAGCGCAGCCTGAAGGCAGCAGAACAAGCTCGCGTTGCAGGTCTCTTCAAGCTTTCAAACAAGTGCTTGACACATGTGCGTCATGTGCGTGCACGGCAAGATCGGGGGCCATAATTGAGTGTCAAATGTGCTCGCCATGCAGGTGTCATGTGGTCTTCGGGGAGGCCGCCTTTGGGCGCCAAAAGGCGGCATGTGTTTGAGGGTTTTCAGTCTTTCCCGCATTGGCTCGGTTTTGGGCTTGGGGTTCAGGTTTGGTTTTACTCTTTGGTTTTGAACTTTGGTTTTACTCTGGGGTTCAGGTCTGGTTTTGCTCTGGAGGGCGCCAAAAGGCGGCGTGGCTTTGAGGGGTTTTGGCTTTGGCTTTGGTGGGCTTCAGTGTTTTCCAAAGAACGGCTTTGGCTTTCTCTCCAAAGTGCTGCCGTGCCTATCACGGGTATCGCTTTGGCTTTGGTGGGCTTCAGTGTTTGTGGCTTTGGGGTTCGGCCTGGTTTCCATCAAGTGCTGTGCTTGGGCTGTTAATAGGTCTCTGGGACTGGGGGTCTAGGGTTTAGGGGGGGGGCTCGCGTCTGTGACCGAGTGACCGAGTGACGTTTACTGGGCTATGTGTGCATTGATGTACAGAGCCACCTCAGAGCGGGTTCCTGAGGCTTCGCCCCGCATGGCAGCTCTCCTGTGATTCTGAACATCCGAAAACATAAACGTCTGACATCCTCTTCTGTAGAGGCTTGCTACCCTGCTGGCTGGATCGTCAGGCCTCGAAGCAGCGCCAACACGAAGGAGGCGAGAACCTCAGGTTGCTCAGCGTGGACTCAAGCTGCACAGCGCGGAAGCACAGTTCATGTCTTGCAGTGGCAGGTTCAGCTTCAGAAACACATGGGTGCCTGCGTGACTGCTGCGAGGGCTTATATGCCATGACCTTGAAGGACACACACACAGGCACGTACATGTACATATATGTATGCATACGTTCCAAAGCACAGCAGCCGCAGCGGAAGCAGCGTCACCCTCCCCTCACGACCAGGAACACAGTGAGCACCAGCAGCAGCTCAACAGCAGCACCGCACACCCTTGTGAGAACCGGAAAGACAGACACACGTATACATGTGTGTATATATATATATATACACGTATGTGTAGGTTCCAATACCATTGCGAGTGTCACGCGAGGTCTCCTAGCCGTGAAGTCCGTTTTGTGCACAGCCAGTGTCAAGGCTGTAACACCGATCAATACAAACCAAAACTTGTACACAAAGCTGACAACTGATAATGCTAGGCACAACAACAGCATCAGCCACAGAGCAGAGCCGCGGCGCAGCAAAGATGGCCGGGTGGCAAAGCGGGGACTGGAGCAGCGACAACAGGGGTTGGCACTCTACCTCTGCATGGAGCTCACACGACCGGCGGGGTTCTTGGACAGAGCCCCAAGGGAGGCCAAAGCAGAAGGCAAAGGCTTCACCCAAGCCAAATGCCGGGGGACCCCAAGGGCGAGCCAAGCCGAAAGCCAAGGCTTCGCCTAAGGCAAGTGCCCGACATGAGGAGGAGGAGGAGGAGGAGGCTGGTCGGAGCCGGAGGGAACGAGAGGAGAAGAGGCTGCCCATGCGTGAGGAGATGGAGGAGCTTCGCCGAACTGTCCACACGCAAGCGGGGCTCCTGGCCGGAGTGCCTGAGCTGCGGGCAGAGTACCTGCAGGTGCTGGAGCAGCGCACAGAAGCCAGAACAGCGCTCAAGTATCAAGAGCAGATGGGCTGGGGTGCAGCCAACATGCTGAAGGCCAACACTGCGGAGATGAAGGAAGTGGAAGCTTCGATGAAGGAAGTGGAAGCTTCGATGTCCGAAGAAGTGGATGCTGCCTCTGCATCTCAGGCCGCCCAACAAAGGCTGCAGGAGGAGCTAGCCGCGGAGGGGCTACAGGTCACGGAGCAGATCAAGCGCGGCAAAGGCTGGTGGATGCGATCCAAGACTCTTGCAGAGGAGCTGGAGGCGGAAGCCTAGATTAAATCCGCAACCCCCCTTGAAAAAAAAACTGCTCGGCCAGGCGAAGGAAACAGAGTTGAGGCGGAGCAGGGAGACGTACCACGAGCTGAAGGTGCTGAATTCCATGGAGGCCCGACGCGAGATCGAGGCGGCCGAGAAGACCGAGGACGCGAAATAATCGTTGTGCGGGGTCAGCGGTGTTCTTGCTGGTATGTCGTGCGTGGCAAACCTGTGTCAGGAGGAGGCAATCCGGAAGGCCATGACGTTCAACGAGGAGATGGCGTTGACAAAGGAAGAGTCAGGTTCTTAGAGTTCGCCCTTGAGGGTTGTGTCACCTCGACAAAAGTGACGCTTGTTGGAACAAGGCTGGAGAAGACACAGATGGTGGCCTCCTTGCAGGAGAAGGAGGTGGTAGAGAGGAGGGTCGAGGCAAGGCTGCGGCTGTAAGGTACATGATGATGTGAGCACATCATCATATCGGTCAGGTGATGGAGCTCCGAAAGCAGTTGGAGGCCGCGCAGGACCTGCGTCGCTCCCTTGAAGAAGATGAGGTACAGAGCGAGGTAGTTGGGAGTGTTGGGCTCTGATCTTGTCGACGGCAGGAGCGATTGATGCAATCAGTTGCTGCGACACAGCATTCCGAGGCTACGCAGGCCATCGATTCAGGAGACATTAGGCAAAAGACCACAAGCCACAACTTCGCCTTTTTTCGGAAGGCAGCTGCCTCACGAGAGACACAGGCACAGGTCAGGAATCTTGGCCATCATTGAAGATTGCAGTGTGGTCCTATTACTGTATATGACAGAAGCGGTGTGTTCGAAAGGTGGCGAGCATCAGAAGCGAGCTGCAGCACGAAACGGAGCAGGCCTGCTGTTGCGCTTTGCTCGTTAGGAAAGTCTTCTTCCCAGAGGCAAGTAGCTAGATCATGCAACATTCGAGGCGAGGCTGCAAGCAGAGGAGCTGGCAGAGACTGTGCAGAGGTCCATGCAAGAGGAGGTGCCCTACTGAGACTGAAAAACATAATCCTACGTTAGGCTGCAATTTCTTCAGGCCGAGACCCTTGCTTTGCAGGAGGAGCTCAACATCAAGGAGGCATCCTAAGCCTCTAGTTAATGGCCCTCTCTCAGCCTCTGACTGACCAGATCATGGTGAACGACATGATCGCGGAAGTCCTGCGAACCAGGAAAGAGGCAATATGCGTGACTCTGACAGACTGACCACAGCCGCTCTGGGTGCCACTGCAGGTGCAGGGGCATGCTGCTGAACAGGTCGGGTCGTAACACCTAGCCCTACCAAGCCGAGTGAGCCTCTTCCAGGACAGCGTAGCTGCAGCCGAGGCACACCTGATGCAGTGCGAAGTAAGGCGTACTCCCTGCAACGTGCACGTGCAGGTGGCCCCCGCAAATCCGTTCCGGGCTCCCTCGACTCCCAGCCCTACATCCCCAGCAAGCGTGGGCAAGGCCAGGAATGTGAGGAACACAACATAGTATTGCTTGTGCAGTTAACTCTTCTAAGGACCTTGCGGCGCCGACAGAGGAGGGGCGGTCATACGAGCCAATTTACGAGTACTCTGTGTGCCTGTGCTAGGACAGATCCCCGCAGCGCAGCCCACCGCAGGCAGGGCACTAGCACATCAGCAAAAACACAAGCAAAACCATCACATCCGGCAGGTGCCTACCGAAGTCCCCAGCCCCAGCTCGCCTCGCTGAATCCTGAAGTGCTCTGCCGAAGGCCCGACCAGATTGAATAGAGTTTGAGTAGCATGTCGGAGCCTGCTGCGCGGAGGTTTTGGCTCTTCCGCTCGTCCAGCTTGAGCTCTGCTGCGGGCAACAGCAAAAAGAGGAAGAGTGCATTGCACCGTCTAACACATCGTCTGTCTTCTACAGCATGCTGCTCGGTGGATTGCCTGACTGCCCAGGTCTCACTGTCACATCGGGACTCACAGACAATTGACAAGGCGGGACGGTGCTAGGTGAGCTACAAAGATGAACTACTTGATAATTTGCCCGCCTTGTGCCGCTCTGATTTGCAGGAGCTTCCTGCGCGACCAGGTCAGGGGCTCCGTTGTTGTTGCGTGGTGCACTAGCCTGACGACCGTTGAGATTGCGTTCATGGTCTGTGCTACGCTCTAAGTCAATCCTAGCGGTGCCTGCAAACACTACCCAGGTCATGCTTCGAACATCGGGGGAGTCAGACAAGGCTAGAGTGCGGTGGGTTCTTGAAGACACTCCGCACTGCAATAGGACTTGCATGCATCACTGTGCTAGAAGGCCCTCGGCCCAAAACCTTAAACTTGAGAGTGCCTGATGCTGTCACACTGGGGCACACGCCTCTTGAGCAATAGGACCTTCAAACGAAGCACAAGCACCATCGCGGCACTTGTGTTGCACGCAGATCTAATGGCTCTGGGCGCAGTCCTGCTGCCGGGGAAAAGGGACACACTATCGCAGTGTGCCCCCCCACCTTCTTTTCCCTCCTTCACCTGCCCTGTTGGGGGCCTTTTTTTCTCTCGGCCAGGGAAACACCATCGCGGCGTTCCCCTCAGCCCCCTTTTT